ATTATTTTCAACAACACCCAATCCAAACAAATAATGATTTTTGAAAACTCAAATTTGAATTCAAAGCTTTCAAGCTTTTTAATGGCTATCAATGGTGGAAAATATATGGAAGAACAGATGAAGATGAAGATGAAGAACAAAAATCTCCTTTCCGTTCAAAACTTGAATTTAATGTACTCAATCAATCACAAGATTTTTTCCTGATTTTTAGCGCGTTAATTATGGAAGATTTTGCCCAATTAATCGTGTATTAAACAAATGGTACAGAAATTATCGGAAAATTGTGGATTGGACGGGTAATTTACAAAGTATGCACATATTTGGTAATAAGGTTTCATATGGTATAGTTAGGAAAAAATCCTATGAATAAAACCTATGAGATAATGGGTTTTATTGGGCTTTACTTCCCGGAAACGGGCTTACTGCCCATGTCGTAATACCTGGGGCTTGGCTACTGAACCATAACAACCGCATTGGCTGTTTCATTCGTGAAGCCTCAAACTTTCTCCTCTCTCTCGCCGTTCGGAAATTTTGCTCAGCCATCCATGTACAACTCAGCCTAGAGCTCTCCGATCAATTGATTAGCCTATCAATGCAGCTTTGGTTCCTGCACTTTACAGGTACACTTGTTCTTTGTATCAAATCTCGGAAGTAACTCAGTCATTCTTTCATTGGATTTGTATGTTGGCTGAGAATCAATTATTAGGAGGCCCGATAATTAATTCATGGTAGATTTAAGGTTTAATCTTTGTGTGTTTTGGTTGGAGGAAAATGTTTGCCATGTGAAAATGCCTACTTTGGCCATCATTTTTTCTGTATCATTTTCCAGTTTGGTTGGGCATAAAAGTAGGTGACACATAGTTTATTTTTCAGGTTAAATACTTAATTTAAAGAAAATAAAAAAGCTTTTGTTCTGCTCCCTGTCTGATACTAGAAGTTGACTTTGCAGTAAGGGTAACACTTTGAATTGTACAGTTAACTAAAGTTCTCAGTAAAAGTTGCATTTTTTAGGTGAGTGGATACAAGAACAGACACATTGGTCATCAGCTTGATATCTGTTGGACCTTAAATACCAGAAGGTTACTGTCTTCAATTTTGAATATGATAGACATGGCATGGCTTAGCGCCATAATACTTGGAGCAGGATGTCTTGCTTTGGGTTATATTATTGGTGTGCGCCACTCTTCTCGCACTTCTCTGTCAAACAAAGCATCTGGTGACACTGAAACTCTAATTGATGGGAAAAAGAAAAAAGGGGTCAAGCCACCTCTTGAAGTTGAAAGACTGGCCGAGATCCTTGAAAATTTCAAAATGGTCTCTTCTCTTCTCTCTCCATATTTATGTTTGCGCCAAATCAATGTACCACGGGCGAAGGTATGTTGTATATTAGAAGATTAAGGATGAACCATAATTTCTAATTGTCTGCAGGTTTTGGTAGTCAGGAATGACTTGAAGATGGGGAAAGGGAAAATAGCTGCACAATGCAGGTAGTTGATTCATTCTTGCCGCCTTTGCTGGTTTATAGGTATCTTTATAAGTTATCTAGATAACTTTCATATGTAAGTGCATCATTGAGAAAATTAATCTGCATTATTTGAAAACCACAAGGTGATTCCATCTCGAATCAAAGTCACTTATTCATATTTGTTGATATTTGATGTTTCAGTGCATGAAAGCCTCCTGAAATGTCAGCACCCTGTAGTTTTGTTGTGTTTTAAAGTTTCTCTTTCATTTGGGTGTTTCTGAGTACAAATACAAATTGGTGTTCCAACATTTATTGGCTATGTTCCACTAATTTGTTCTAACTTTTGGTTGAATTGGTATATGGTTGTTTAGTCATGCAACTTTAGGTCTCTACAAAAAGCTCCATAATAGGGCGCCAAAAGCTTTAAACAGGTAATTTTTAAGAGACATATCAAGTTAGGTTGATATAGAAGTGTTATTTATCGTGAAATTTGTCTATGCAGATGGGAGATGTGTGGACAGGTGAAGGTTGTGGTGAAGATTGAAAGGGAGGAAGATATGTTGCTTTTGCAAGTATGTATAGTTTAGTTATGCTATCACTGCTGTAGGACATACCATGTCCCAATAATTTGTGCTCTTGAAATATCTGTGATGTACTCTGCCTTCTTGCTTGGTTATAGTAACTTTATTATTTTTATTTTTATTTTTGGTCATGAATCTGAAGTAGTGAGCACTGTCTATGAGCACCAACTTAAACATCGAAATATTGCGTCAGTTATTTTATTGTAGGATTACCATTATGAATATGCTTCTCTTTTAGATTTTCGTTATCCAATCTTGTAGTGGACGTACAATCTGTTTTGGTCTAGGTTTGTTGCTTGTTGTGAACTTTTCTGGTCTTGTTTTTTTTTTTTTCACTTGTGATGGATATGTATGTTGTATGATTTCCCTTATGCGTGTAGAAATACAATTTGACTTTGCCCCAAACAGGAGAAAAAAGACAAAATTACCATCCCGAATGCTTAAACTTTTCTCCATTGCTTTGATCTGCTCATGTGGTACTGCTTCAAAAGATCTCATATGCTTGGATTGCTGCCAGGGACACTGTTTCCATCCTTGATGCCAGGAAATTTCATTGTCTGGTGGATGAAGTTGGCAAATATCCTCTCGGTGGGAACATGAAACATTCCTTTCTTTGCTTCCACAAATAGAGTTTAGTTCTTCTTAGTGTAATTTATGTAAACCTCCTGGTCAATAAAGGAGCCCGTTATCTGCAGCCTTTCGAATACCTTATGTTCTGTTCTTTGTTTAGACCTACTTGTTTTAATTTACTAAATGTAACTATTTATCCTATTCTGGTTGGTTGCTCTCTGAATTTCTCATTTTGCCACAGGAAAGGGCAAAATCACTTAATATACCAACACATATTACAATTGATTCTGGGAGAACACAAATTGCGCCAAGTGAGTTAGAGACATAATCGCCTCTTTCATGATGTTGTTTGCTTTTGAGTGGATTTGATAGACCTTTTTTAATCTTGCCCACATGAAAATACTTGGAGTGTAATTAGCAATGATGATTGATGACCTAGTGCATAAGGCTTTCATTGTTGCATCTTTCAACACACCCTCTTGGATTTCCTGAATTGTTAGTGGAGCTTGGTATTCAAAGTCTACAAAAAATGACTATGTTGATACTTAAAATTTAAGTGAATCTATTCAACATGTTTGCTTTTATGCATGATTCCTAATCAATAGGTTTATGACTGTTATATGAAGAGCTTCTGCAGCTTCTTCTCCACTTTTGCCCATCTTCTTTCTTCTTCTTTTTTTCCCCAAAAGAAAAGTGTTAGCTACCGGAATAGCACTAGCTCTCTATCCTTGCTTTCATGATGAAAGGAGAATCAAGAAACACCCTTAAGTTGAACTTCACTAATGGCATTCTGCCACTAAACTATTCCCTCCTTGGCATGTTAACACGTCTCTTGCTTTACTATTGATCTCCGTCTCCCTCTCTTTATGGTTAGACAGTGAAGTTGTCTTGGTTTCAGTTCATCTGGTCTATGCGGAAAGAGCTTGTTAATTTCTTTTCAGAATAATGTAAACATGAAAGGAAGTTACCATTATAAATCAATATAAAAGCATGCGTAAACATGAAAGGTTGAAAATAGATGGTTGGTACAGTTTCCAGCAGCTAGTGTTGTGGTGGCTTTGCCTTGTACATCATAACTTCCTTGGTTTATGTTTATCGCAGCGCAACTTCATCTTCTGGTGGTGGATAGTAGCAATGAAGTATGTCAATTTGTAGTTGTAGACAGTGTGTTCTTGTCTATATTAATTAGAAAAACACAGATATTCAATGCACCCAAGAGTGTGGCCTAGTGGTCTATGAAGTGGGTGAGATCCATGAGGTCTCAGGTTAGCACTAGGTGATTATTTCTCATATGTCCAAGCCTTGATGGACAGAGTTACCTGGTACATGTTGCTAGTGGGAGGTGACAGGTATCTCGTAAAATTAGTCGACGTGTTGGCCCGGACACCAACAACAATAACAACCCAGTATATTCCCACAAGTGGGATATTAAAAAAACACAGATATTCAGTATTGTTATTGGAGGGCACAAATTATTTGAGTATAATGTCCTTACCTGTTATAGATATATTTTTCTTTGTTAGCAGCATCGTATGGATATAAAACGTAATAACGTTACTTGGTAAAAAGACTTACAAGTCACATATGGAGACCTTAGGAGTTACGACTACTAGGATCAGTTATAATAACATGAATAGAACAGTTTACATGCACGACTGTTTGTCGGAGCAATAAGGTGTTATAACTGCCTAAACAGGGGATTTTGCTTACCATTGAAAATGATACTGAAGTTTGACCGTTAGAGAGCAGGAATGCTGATAACCATAGAGAACATCAACCTCCACCATTTACGGCGGTATCTATTTTCCACTGAAATGATGCTGAATTTTTCCAAAACCAATCACTTTTTGTTCAAAAGTCCTTGTTGTACTAAGTGTTGGGAAAAATAATGTTTGTATCTTACTTTTTAGTATCAATATAGCTAAAGTAAATATCAATCCAAACCATTGGATAGCAATGAATTTATTTTATAACTTCAAAGTACGTTTTTACCATTTACATTGCCTTGTCATTTGCTCCAGCAAAGGTGCTTATTGTCTTTCCCTCTTTTTTACCTGCAGACTCGAGGACAGTGATGGCTGTACTTGGTAAGTTTCCCAATCCTTAATAATAACCCACGGAATATTAAACGATTTATACATGGAGTCCCAATTCTGATTGTGTTGTGGCTATGCATGTGCAGGACCAGCTGATTTAGTTGACGACATAACTGGCGGATTGAAGCTTTTGTAGCGGCAGTCACGTTAAGGTCCTCTGCATTATGGAACTAGAATGAGAAATCACCATTATTGGAAATTCATCTACTGCCCTGGTGTTGCAAACTTTTTTCAACTGATGATGATGATATTTGTTGCTCCTTTTAAGCTGCATAACATTTCTAACGTGCAATGCAAGAGACGAAATGTGAGGTCCAGCTTTATAATTCTGACGCTAATTCTTCTCTCTTTTATTTATTAGTCCCAAACATTTTGTAATTCGTCTTTTTTGAACTAAGAAGATTATTAGTTTCTGTGGGGAAAAAAATAGAGAAAACTTATAAGATAATATCCAACCTACCGGATTCGAACCAGCGACCTAAGGATTAGCTAGCTATTAACTGTCTACAGTACTCCGCTCTACCAACTGAGCTAAGGTCGGATGTAGAATAGCTTGCTTCACTTGGATATATTTGGGAAAATGCATAAGTACCCCCTGACCTATTTCCGGATTTTTAACTACACACTTTTTCTTTGCGGAAATCCTATTACCCCTAAGCTTATTTTAAATGTAATTATTTGCACCCTTAACGCTGACGTGACCTTTTTTCTTACTTTTTTTTCTTTTCCTTTTCCTTTTTCTTTGTCTTTTTTCTTTTACTTTTTTTTTGTTTCTTCTCTAATTCCGGCCGATATTCATTCACCGGCGACTTTGTCTAACCGTTTTTCTTCCATTTTTTCTTTTCACACACAATTTAAATTCTCAAAAAGATCCATTCGTAAGCAAAGCAAAATACACTCAGATTTGGGGGAAAAAATTCATCATCGGAAAACCTTCCCACGCCAGAAAAAAATGATTATTGAAATTTTAACTGGAAAAAGTTTTCTCAGCTTATATTCGTTTTTATTTCTTTTGCTCTTCCTCCCACACATAAATTACACTTTCAAGAAATTTATATATATATATATAAAACAAAACTTACTTAGATTGGGATAAAAATCTGTCGCCGGAAAAAAAAATCGCCGGAAAAAATGGTTTGTGAAATTCCGACGACCACCATTTTATGCCGCCGGTGACCAAAACAAAAAGAAAGAGAATGAAATAACTAAAAAAAAATGAGAATAATAAGAAATAAGAAAAAAAGGATAAGAAAAAGAATAAAGAACAAAAAAAGTACTAAAAATACATGTGGGGGCGCGTGTAGCTCACCACTTGCCAAGAGTTTGGTTGTCAGCGTTAAAGGTGCAAATAGTTACATTTAAAATAAGTTTAGGGGGGTAATAAGATTCCCGCAAAGAAAAAGTGTGTAGTTGAAAATACGGGTATAGATCAGGGGGTACTTAAGCATTTTTCCGATATATTTTATACGTAAAGAAAACCTTTACACATAAGTCACGTATACATTAAATATCAAAAGCTTACTTAGTGCTAAATTACTTGTTTTTCTGTTCAACTGGTAGCATTAAAGGTGAATGGAAATGAAAATATTTGTGTAGGGGTAAAATCGGGGATAAAGTTACCCCCGATTTTCCGGTAAAGAAACGAGAAGGAAGCACGATCTAACATGACCTCGAGTAAAGACGAGGGGTTCCACGTCTCAGAGCTCGGGGAGGACGAATGGTGCACCCAGGATCGGACACGGCCGAGCATCAGGTCCGTGCAGAGTAAACGACCCATTGACATAGGGTGTATAGGGGTGACGACCTAAAATCTAGCTAGTCGTGATGACATCTAACCCAACCCACTAGGTAAGCCAAATGGTAGACAACACAACTCAAATAGGATAACGAGAATCAATAAATGAAATAACTGAGCTTTCTATACAAAATTTCAAAGATTAGTTGTACAAGTCATGAGCTTCTAAAACTTAGAATTTACAAAGCTGGTACGAAATAAATACATCATCTATTTGAAATATACATAAACAGATTTATAAATCTAAATCTACCAAGAACAAGGTGCGGCTATAACCGGAACGGAGGTACATCTTCAATGCCAGCTCCCGCCATACACAGCAGCATCAACCCCAAAATCTGCATGCAAGGTGCAGAAATATAGTACGAGTACAACCGACCCCATGTACTCAGTAAGTAACAAACTTAACCTTAGGTTGAAAGCAATGACGAGCTAGGAAGAAGGTCAGTGTCCAACACCAATAGCCAATATTAACTCATAATAATATAATGAAGACAGTAAAAGTACAACAACAACAACAAGCCTAGTTTGATCCCATAAATGGGGTGTGGGGAGGGTAGTGTGTACGCAGACCTTACCCCTACCTCATAGAGATAGAGATGTTGTTTCTAATAGACCCTCGACAAATGAAGACGGTAAAAGTAATAGCTCAAAAGATATTATACTCAGCTCGATCATAATTACGAAAAAGTAGACATGCTTTTCAGGTATAACAGTCAAGTCCAGATATTACATCTAAAAATCAACTAAACATGAGTTTATCAGCAGATTGTATTTTCAATTGACAACACCAGATAAGAATCTCCGTTTACCAATTAGCATGATGAAAGTACGTCTTTATGTTTATATACATGTCAAGTCATCAATTACTATATACTATCTAGCCCAACTACTCCACATATGGAAAAAGAATGATAACGTGTGATGTAGCGATGAATGATGAACATAGACTGAGATATGATATACAAATGAAGAACCATGACTAAGTATATAATTACAGTTAAATCAGATAACTCAAAACAACAGAAATAGCCTCATTAGGTCTCAATTGAATAAGCACATAGCCTAAAGATGATTTTTAACATAAATCATAGCTCAAATAATCAAACAAGTAGGGGAAAAAACATATATAATATGATGTGATAGCAGAACAAGTTTGATAATAGTCTAAAAGTCAAGTTGAATCATGATAACTCCGGTGCACACCGTCACCTAGCATGTGCGTCACCTCAACACATCACAATAACATGGTTCCCAGGGATAATTACCCTCAATTCCAAGTTTATAAATGTTACTTACCTCAAAAGCCAAATTAAATATTGGGCAAGCCAAACAACACTCTAGAAATGTCATCACATGCAAATCAACCTCCGAACGACTCGAAACTAGCCAAAAGAAACTAAAAAATATTAAATAATGCCAAAGGAAACAAACCTAATCGATAAATGTTGAATTTTTTATCAAAAGCCCAAAGTCAACCAAAAAGTCAAACCCGAGCTCGTACCTCGAAACCCGAAAAAATCTGTAAATTCTGGCAACCCATTCGACTATGAGACCAACCATACCAATTTCATTCAAATCTGACTCCGAATCGGTATTCAAATCTCAAATATTCACTTTAGAAAAATTTAGACAAAACCCCTCAATTTCTCTTCTAAAATCATCATTCAAATGCTAAAACCGAAGATGGAATCATGGAGTATAATCAAAATCAAGTAGAAAATACTTACCCCAATCCATATAGTGAAAATCGTCATCAAAATCTGCCACGACCCAAACCGATGGGCCGCAGCGGGCACCCGGTACCTTACTCAACCGAGTACCAACGTAACATATCTTTCTTATTACATCATCATATACACGTGACATACGGGCCTAATAGGCCAACATGATCATTTATAAACTCAAAACATAGGTCGACAAGGCCGTACAATCTTTCACATACACTACATATGTCTACAAGCCTCTAAGAGTACATAAATGTCATAAAGGTCGGGACAGAGTCCCGCCATACCAAATAATAGACGTCTAAATCATACTAACCAAACACGCAACTCCGAAGCAAATGGAGCGCACCAACATCTTTCGTTGAGCTGATAACCTACTTGGGGGGCTCTCGACCTGTCTATCTGGACCTGCGGGCATGAAACGCAGCGTTCCCAGGCAAAAGGGACGTCAGTACAAAAAATGTACCGAGTATGTAAGGCACATAAATAAGTACTAGTAGACGTGGAAGAAATATGGAGTACATGACTTAACCTGTAAGTCTGAATAACTTTGTAAATCATGAAATAATTATAGTATCATGCATATGTGTATGTCATGTCGTGCATATGTATATGTTTCTTAACATCATCAGCATCTGAGGGCATCCCATCATATCATCTTGTCCACTGTGGGCAAAATCATCAACGTATATCAGCTGATCAGGTGATGGTGTGTATATAATGCCATAACCTTTTCCATATCCCATATACATATATACACATACATATATACGCGTATATAACGCCATTCGGTCACTGGTCAATGTACATGAATGCAATGCATGAGAAGTACGTTAATAAAATCTTTCGGAATGTCATAAGACCATTTTACCTTTGAGTAATATCATAAAGTAAACTCTTTTCAACTTTCGTTTTTTTAGACCCATGAGCAGATATAAAATATTATGACACATGAAAATTCAAGAATATAGATATCTCTAATACTTTTATGAATAGAGTCATTTATGGATTTGTGCATTCGTACGTTTCGTTCATATCGTATGGATCATGCCAAAAGAAAGAAGAGATAGCCTTAACATACCTGTTCCTTGAATTATTTGCATGAAATGAAGCTTCTACTTCTTTAAATCTTGTGAACGAAATTTTGCTTCCTTTGACACTTGAACGAAATTAATTCACAAGGCAAAGTTTTGTTGCAAGCCTTTAAAATGAAAGTGATTTGGAGTTTGAATTTTAGAAAACAAAGTTCTGTTGCAAAGCCTTTAAAATGAGGGTGATTTTGGAGTTTGAATTATAGAAATCAAAGTTCTGTTCCTAAGACTTTAAATGTAAAGTCTTTTAAAATGGAATGGATTGGAAAAACTTGAATAAAGTCTTGGAAAGAATGGAAGGAACTTGTTATTCATTTGACACCTAATCAAGGAATGACTTAGTCATTTCTTGATAATGCGGCTAGTTGCCACGTGGGGTGGGGGATAATTATTAAGTTTTTATCCACTTATTAGTTAATCGGGTAATGTCCCGTTACCCGATAATTAACTAATTACCCAAAAAATTTAGAATTATTCCCACTTACATAAAATATTACTCTCTTTTCACATATCTTATATACCTTTCTAGCATGTGCATGTAGTACATTGCATGTCACTAGTCCATAAATACCGGATATTTTAGCTCGGGCCATATTTTACCCAAATATGCCAAACTTGGACGAAAAATTCATTTTTTTTGACTTGCTTCCCCTTTCACCTTTATGAATTTATTCATCACTTGTGAAATAGCATAATCCTTATAATCTCCAAATAATCTTTTACTT